TATGATAACTACTTTAATGTTCGCCTACCTTTCACACTAAACCACAGACTATTTATGCTTACCTTCCAATAGATGGATTTCTATGTCATCCAAGGATGATATATAAATTTAACAGATGCTCAGAAAAAGATGTTCTTCACGCCTCTAAGAATGCCATTTTATCATGTGCTTCAATTTAAGCTAATTTCCTCTAGCTTTAGTTCCTTGCCAGATACATAATTGAATATGCTAAAATTAATTTTCTTCCATTTATATGTTCAGTGCAAATCTTTATTATCTTCCTCCTAAAGCATTCAGAAACTTAAAAACTGCAGGCAATTTTTTAAAATTTACCCTTCCTTCATTTTGCTTTGAATGCCTTCAGCACTTCTTTTCTAAAACTCATCTACTATTACAATATTGTTTTAAGGATGAAAACCCACTGCTCTACTAATGGTTGGATAAAACAAAGTATAGCTGAGATGTAACCAATTAACATGGCCCTTCTAGGTATAATTCCTTCTGTGATGTATTATAATTCTGGACTCTCTGCCTGTGGTGCTGGCAAGAATACTGAGAGTAGCATGGATTGCCAAAAGAACAAACAAATCTGTCTTAGAAGAAGCACAGGCAGAATGCTCTTCAGAGGCAAGGATGGTGAGACTTCTTCTCACATACTTTGGACATGTTGTCAGATGAGAGACTAGTCCCTGAAGAAGGACTGGGCATTGGTAAAGTGGAAGCACAGTGAAAAAAAAAGAAAAAAAGGAAGGCCCTCGACAAGATGGATAGACAGAGTGGTTGCAATAATGGGCTCCAAAATAAGAACAATTGTGAGGATGGTGCAGGACTTGGCAGTTTCCTGCTATTATACACAGGGTTGTTCTGGGTGGGAACCAACTCAATGGCACTTAACATGTCTTAAGCCCCAACTCATCTGTCAGTTTGCCATTGTGGTAGCTTGTATGTTGCTGTGATGCTAGGCAATTGTTTTATCAAACACTAGCAGGTTTTACTAAGGTGAACAGATTTCAGTAGAGATTCTAGGCTAATAAGAGACTAGGAAGAAGGAATAAACTGTCTGCCTCTGAGGAATTTGCCATTGAGAACAGTACGAACAGCAGCAGAACCTTATATGCCATAGTGCCCAAAGATGAGCCTCTCATGTTGGAAAGCATGCAAAAGCTTCCTCCCCACAACTGAGCCTATCTTAATGACAGATGTAGGAAAGCTTTTAGAACCTAGCTATTGGGGCATTTCTCAAAATAAAAAGAAATAACTGCAAACATCCATTAATAATTGGAACATGGAATGTACCGAGTATGACTCTAAGAAAATTAGAAGTCATCAAAAATATAAGGGAACACACAAAGGTTGATATCCTAGACTTTATGAGTTGAAATGGACTGGTATTGGTTATTCTGAATTGGAAAATCTTTTTTTTTTCTATGTGGAATGATAAAGTCACAAGGAAGGACATTACATATACCATTAAAAAGCACAAACCTTTCAGCTGTCAATGCAGCACATGATAACATCTATATGCCTACAACTTTTACTCAAATTTATATATCAACCACGAAAGTCAATGAGGAAGAAACGAAAGAATTCTACCAACATCTGCAGTCTGAAATTAATGAAACATGCTATCATGATAAATTGATGATTACTGGTGATTAGAATGTGAAAATTGGACACAAAGAGGAAGGATCAGTATTTGGAAAATATGACCTTGGGTATAGAAATGATAGAAACAAGTGCTCGCTTCGGCAGCACATATACTAAAAAAAGAAATGATAGAAACAAGATTGCATGACAGAATTTTGTAAGACCAGTGTTTTCTTCATAACAAATACCTTTTTCAAAAACACAGTGACTATACACATGGACCTCACCAGATGGAATGAAATAATTGAACTGATTGATTGTCCCTGTGGGAAGAGATAAAGAAGAAACTCAAAGTTACCAGCCAAATCAAGGTCAAGCCCAACTACAGAACAACCCATCAAGTGTTCATATGCAAATTTACACTGAAGTTGAAGAAAATTAAAATTAAAGCCGCTGAGAACCAAAATATGGCCATGGCTGTATCCCACCTGAATTTAGAGACCACCTCAATAACAGATTTGACAAATCAAACACTACTGACAGAAAACCAGATGAGTGGTAGGTTATCAAGCACATTATACATGAAGAAAAGCAAAAGGTCATTAAAAGCCAGGAAAGAAAGAAAAGACCAAGTGGATGTCAGACTCTTGAAAGAGCTCATGACTATACTGTTACTGAAGCAACTGGAAGAAATGATAACATAAAAGAGCTAAACAACTCCCCACAAGCACCACACACACACCAGGGAGATGAACAACAGAAACATGAGTGAAGAGAGACAGTGGCCAGTGTAAGATATGAAAATAATAATAATTTATAATTTATCAAGGGGTGACAAGCGTGGGGGGGAGGGAGGGAAAAAAGAGGCGCTGATACCAAGGGCTCAAATAGAAAGTAAATGTTTAGAAAATGATGGCAACATACGTACAAATATGCTTGATACAATTGATGTATATGGAATGTTATCAGAGCTGTGGAAGCCTCCAATAAAATGATAAAAAACCAAACCAAACCAAAAAAAAAAAGAGCTAAACAGAAGAATTCTTCAAAAGGCTGCTCAAGTATTCTAGTGAAACATGCAAAGACCACAAGTTAAAAGCAAACTGGAGCCCCCAGTAAAATGATTTAAAAAAACAAACTGGAAGATCATGCTAAATGGGAAGAACATACTCAGCATATCACAGTTTGGAAGAAATAATTTAAGCCTTAAGTTGTTATACTGAAAGATACTGTGGTAGTCACCTAATCTGGTGTCAATTTAAGGAGTAAGAGTGTAGGGGTCGAGTCTAGGCTGTCAATCTGGAGATAGCCAATGAGACTTTTGTGTGGACATAGCCTTCTCCTGAGAATTCTGGGAAATCTGGGACTTCCTCCTTGGAAGTGGAAGACATCTCTCTCTCTCTCTGTCTCTGCTACTTCCTGGGAGACATTACAGAAGACAAGGCACATGGATGCAACCAGACCTCGGAAGCCGGAGCAGCCACAGAGAGACTCCTGCCAGCACTAAGATGCTCACAACACCACTGGACCCAAAGACTTTCTACCCACTGGCTTGAGATCATCCTGCCTTTGGCTTCATTGCATGTGTTTCGTGAGTCTGAAGAGGACTTTATAGATTGGTTATCGGACATATGGGCTAATATCAGACTTATGGCCTTGGACTGGACTGGGTTGGGATATTTTCCCAATGCTCAGTTCCTCTTGTATATAAACCTCTCCCTTACATACATATGCGTGTTTATGAATTTGTTTCTCTAGTCTACCCAGACTAACACAGATACCATGAGCAAAATATTGAATCAAGCAGGAAGCATCAAAAGAAGATGGGAGGGACACACTGAATCACTGTACCAAAAGAATGGATTGATATTCAACCATTTCAGAGTCCTACATGACAAAGTACCAGTGGTATTGAAGGAAGAAGTCCAAGCAGCACTGAAGGCACTAGTGAAAAGCGAGGTTCCAGGAATCGATGAAATGTCAACTGGGATGTTTTAAAAAGAAAAAAAGATGCCGTTTTAGAAGCGCTCACTTATCTGTGCCAAGAGATGTGGAGAGGAGTTACCTGGTCAAAGGACTAGAAGGGATCACTAGTTGTGCACCATTCCAAAGAAAGGTGACCCAGCAAAATGTGGAAATTATTGAGCAACATCATTAACACCATGGACAAGTAAAATTTTGCTGATGAGAAAGTACATTGACAGGGAGCAGCCAGAAATTCAAGTCAAATTAAGAAGATGATGTGGACCAAGAGATACCATTGTTGATAACATGTCAGCTGGATCTTGGATGAAAGCAGATAATACCAGGAAAGATGTTTATTTGTTTTAGTGACTATGAAAAGGCATTGGATTACATGGATCATAACAAACTATGAATAAACTGCAAAGAATGGAAATCCTACAATATTTAATTGTGCTCCTGAAGAACTCAAACATACATACATACAACAAGCAGATTTTCATGGTTTAAAATCAGGAAAGGTATGAGTCAGGGTTGTATCATTTACCTTGCTTATTCAGTCTGTTTGTTGAGCTACTAAGTGCTAAAGCTGGACTATAAAAAGAAGAATATGAAATCAGACTGGAGGAAGGCTCATTAACCTCTGCTACCCAGATGCTACAATATTGCTTGTTGAAAAGGATTTGAAACACTTATTGTTGAAGATCCAAGGCCATAACTATCAATACAGATAACAACTCTAAGAAAATAAAGTGGACCACCAGAAACCATCATGTAAACAGATAACGGAAATTGTCAAGATTTTCATTTTACTTGGATCCACAGTCAATCCTCAGGCGAGTAGTCAAGAAATTAAATAACTTGTTGTATTTGATGAATCTGTTGCACAAGAACTCTTTAAAGTGTTAAAGAAAAACAATGTTACTTTGAAGACTAAGATGCCCAAGTCGTGGTACTTTCAATCACCTCATATAGATATGAAAGCTGGACAATGAACAGGAAGATTAGAAAAGAACTGATGCACTTAAATTATGATGCTAGCAAAGAATATTGAAAATACTGTGGACTGTCAGACAAATAAATGTCTTGGAGGAAGTACAGCCAGCCAGAATGCTCCTTAGAAACAAGGAGGGTAAGGCTTCAACTCACATATTTTGGCCATGTTTCAGGAAAGACCAGTCCCTGGAAAAGGATATCATGCTTGGTAAAACAGGGTCACACAAAAGAAGAAGGCCTTCAAGGAGACAGATTGCGACAGTGACGGCAACAGTGACGGCAACAATGGGCTCACACAATCTTTCTGCTGTGCATACGGCTGCTATGAGTCAGAGTTAAGTCTGCAGTCCCAAGCATGTCTCAAGCATGGTGTTTTCTGCTAAAGGAAATCTACTATTACACTTTCTACTATTAAGGAAGGGAATATACATGGATAATATTCACATTTTTGTTACCTGCCGGAGCTGGAAAACACCTCCTGTTGGTACATCCTTGGCAGGTATCACTTCTACAGGGCAGTATTCACCATTTTCATTCTGTTCCAGGACCTGGACCCAGAATTCTACTTTCCTGGTAACTTCACTCCATCTAGGAAGCAGTTGGAGTTCTTAGAAAATCACATATTGTTTATTTCTATTTCAATATGTACTACATTTAGGTATTAGGTATTATTAGAACCCCGTAACAAGCTAATGATAACCAGTAAAATTGCTTGAAATAAAGGCAACTTAGCACACTACAAATGAGAATTACCAGTAGTAGAGATTTCTGACCAAAATAACTCAGTAGAATTTGGGATAGTTCAATGATCAATAATCATATACATATTGGCAAATTTAGTAAAACCCAAAGTTAACCACAATATCCTAACAAGGACTGGCTTACTGTTTTGTTGGGTTTTTTCCCCAAAAGGATATGATAATCATATATTTCAAAGCATTTATTCAAAAATCTAAACACTTTAATCACATATACACAATAAAGTAAATATTCTGCCAATGATAAACTGAGGTAGTACGCAAGCTTCTATGACTACAAGTATCTCTTAGATCAAAATGAGACTCAAGAAAAGCCTCACCTTTTAGTTCAGTATTTGCTAAAACATGTTCCAAATGCACAATAATATTGGGTTTTATCTTATAATTTAATAAAAAAAATCTTAAAATAGGATATATTTGTCTATTCCTTTCAACTCTAACAAAATCCTGCTCATCAACTAAGACTATTTCCCTTGTTCAGGGATGCTACTTGAAAAGAGCTGTGAACAACAGACACAGTAAGTAAACCAGAATTCCAGGAATAGATCTTGATCAATTTTCTGCACAGATACTCAATTAGAAGTAATTAAAAATGATTAGCTACCTATTCTTTAACAAATTCATTTTCTGTGTCTTCCTAAATACTTACACATTTAACTTCCTTTCACACTTCAAAGTTCACTTCTCTGAAAACGTTTACCTATGCTATTATCACTCTAAAGATGCCATCTCCCATTCTGGCAATGTCCCAGACATAACAATTCTTTTTAAATGGCAATATTCAATTTTTAAAAATCTAAAAATTAAATCAGATGGATATATAAAGCTCACCTATCCCGGAAACTACGTGTTTTTGCTTGTATAATTCCCAAATCCCACAGGGTGGGGTTTTTTCGAGGATCAGTCATTTTATGGCCATACACTTCAATTGCCAGAGCACCTTCTGAAAGATGCTCAATGAAATCTTCAGTGATATTAACAGAAAACTCCTGAAAAGAAAAAAGTTAATTGCAGAACTTTATAGTTTCTGGAAACTATATGGTTACTTATTCCCAGACTTATATACTTAATTGTGAAGGAAAGAAATAGAAAATAGAAAGCTTTAAGACAGCGGATAGTGTAAGATATGAAAATAAAAATAATTTATAAATTATCAAGGGTTCGTCGGGACTGGCCCAGACTGACCCTGAGACACTGAGGCAAACCACAAAGGGTGTGCGGCAGAGCAATCGTGGGAGCAGAGCAGAGAGCCCCCGAGGGAGTACAAAGGACAGACTCGGGGGCCAGACTATGGTACCCCATCGGTCCTGACTGAAGGACAGGCCTAGAGATAAAAAACCAGACCTTGATCTATTTACAGGTTTTTCTTTCTGCTTAAAATTTTTTTCTTTTAATTAACTTATTCTTCTTTGGGTGATTGGTTTCCTTTTTTGTTGCCAGCGCTGTGCTCTCACTGATCGCCTATCTTGCTATGGCTTGGTTTTTGATGCATATTATTATCTCTACAGATCTATCTAGATAAGATAGACTGGATGAATAGTCTGGAGG